TATTTAATATTTAAATGGATTACATTAATAATTAAGTAAAATTTTAATGTTATAAAAATATAAATTTTTTTAAAGTATTTTTAAATATAATTTAATATAAAATATAACATTATATAACAAATTTTAATTGTTTTAAACTGATTTGCTTCGGTAATCAAAACTATAGTCATCATCGAATATATAATACCACTATCATTACCGTACGTTTTGTTAAATTATTTCATTTTTATATTAAAAATAAAAGTGATTCTGTAGCTTCTCTTAATGCTTTAACAAAAGAATTTGTTTTATCACATGTTATGGTTAGATTTCTTTTGAATTTTTAATTATTAAAATAAATTAAAGAATATCAGTAAAAATGAGTGTATTTTGCATATTCCTTTAATTTTTATCATTATTTACACATATTTAGATCTTTATGATTTAATAAATTACTTATATTATTAATTTTATTTGGGTGAATCCACAGAATCATTTCATATAAAGAGTAAATAAATGACTATTACTGTAAAGAGACAAAAATACTTCCAAAATTAAAAAATTATAATTTTTTTTACAAATGATTCTTTCAAGAATTGTAAATTTTGGGAAATAATAAAATAATATACAAATTCATATTCAACATATTAAAATTTATAAAAACAGCTAGTAAAGATTATAAAATTAGATACATATTTAAAAATGTAACATAATATAATAACCTGTAATATGACATAATATAATAACCTGTAATAAAAAATATAAATATAATATAAAATTTAATAATATAATAATATATGTATAAATACATATAAATAAATGTAGTTTGAAATGAATAATAAAAAAATCATATTACTTTTTATATTTATTTTTATAAAATTGCACATAATATAATTTACATTTAATTTAAATTCAATTTTAAATGAATCATTTCAATACGAAATAATTATCATAATAATATTAAAATAGGATAGTATTAAATAAAAAATAAAAGTCAAGTTTATAGAAAAGAGGAAAATACATTTATATGATCAATAAAAGATTTTTCTGTATTATACAATGTATATGAATAAGTATACATAAATAGATAAAAATAATTTGTATATAAAATAATATATATGAAATAATAATGATTTCTTAACATTTTTTATTTTATTTTAATTTATATTGATAGAATTTCTTCAGCGCATTTTTTTAGTACATTTAATGCAAAATCAATGTCATTTTTGTTAAGAAGTGTAGAAATACAAAGTCTTAAACTAGGCCTAGGTAAATTTTTTTCTGCTTCTAAATAGGCAGGAGTTATAACTGCTAAATTATTTTCAATACATTTATCAGAAATCTTAGAAAGCAATTTTTCTTCTGTAGCACGATCTAATCTATTTTTTAAATATATATGTTTTACTGGAGATTCTGGAAAACTTAAACATTCTAAGCAATGAATGTTTTGAAGCCCATCATTTATGGCTATACAATTATCTTTTAATGATTTAAATATTTGTGGATTATTTTCCATAATATTTAAAGAAGTAATAGCTGCAGATGTTAATAATGGTGGTAAAGATGCAGAAAAGCAATACCCAAGTCCAGATAAACGTTGATGTTCAATAATAAATGATGTACCTATACAAAAACCTCCAATAGACCCCATTGCCCAATCCAAAGAACCTATAAAATATATAAAATATAATAACAATATTTATAATATTTTATTAATGATAATTGCAATATATAGCATTATTACCCATAATCATATCAATTTCATGTCTAGGAACATCAAAGTATTCAGTAATGCCTTTTCCATGTTCACCCAAGGTTCCAAATGATATTGATTCATCAATAAATATTCTTAGTTTATATTTTCTACATAATATAACTAATTCTGGTAATGGACAGATATTTCCAGTATTCATATAAATACCCTCAACTATTAAAAAACGTTTAGTTTTAGCTGCTTTCTTAGGATTTTGTTTATCAAGTTTTGCTTGTTTAATCAATAAATTACAAAGATCATTTACATCATTATGTTTAAAATAAATAATATTAGCTTTAGTTGCATCCAATCCTTTTTGTATAGCAAAATTTACTTTTTCATCAACATATACAAGATCTTTGCGCTTACAATATGCTGCAATTGCAGATGCAATTGTACTAAAACCATATGAATATACAACTGCATCTTCTGTATCTGTATAATTTGCTAAACGTTCTTCTAATTCAAGATGAACATCAACAGTACCATAAAATCCACGTGGACCACAAGAACCTACTCCATATTTTCTTATTGCTGCTATTGCATTTTTTTCTATTTCATGATTTTCAGTTAGACCTAGGTAATTATGTGTACCTAAATTTAAACAATCTTTTCCATTTACTACTATTCTTTTACCCGCTCTAGATGTTATACATCTTGGATTTAATGATAAATGATTTGTTTGTGGATTATTTATAAGAGGTTCAGGTTTCCATTCTGCAAGTTTCTTTTCAACTTCATCTTCATTTATTTTTTTATGACTATTATAATATCTTTTACTAATAAACCAAATAAGTAAAATAATCAAAAATGTTTTTATCAATATATGATATTGAGGAATTATACTAAGAATATTCATTGATTCAATAAATATAAATTTTGTGCTCATGTTTCTGGTTATATGATATTTTATCCTGTTTTAATTACTTATAATTTAACTTAATCACTTTATGTATTATTTTTCATTGAAATATAAGTACAATATATATGTAACAATATATATTTTAAAATCTTACCACTCTTTAAAATAATTAAAATAATTAGTCGAATTAATAGTATTAATAGTTATATTTTGAAAATGAATTATAAAATTTTAAATCTTAATTTTATATAATGATGAATATTAAAAAAATTTAAATAAAATTACATAATTATTAGATAAAATTATAAGTGATTAATAACTGCGAGTACTTTTTTCGAAGAATCAAGTAAAAACCAGATGGCAGCACTAATATATAATATTATATACATAAATAAATGCAGAATATTTAAAATATTATCTTAAAATATTATTATTATTTAAAACATTAATTTTACAATTTATATAAAAACTGAGCGATAATTCTATTATAATTTTAAATGCATATTAATATATAAAATTTGTTAAAATATATAAAGATAAATTTAATATTACTTCAGTAATGATGTATTGATTTATCACATAAAATTTTTTTATTTTTATTAATATGATACCTATATTTATAAAATTCTATAAGATTAAAGAAACTTCTTTTTAAAGATAATGTTCGAATTTAGGCGCATGTGTGATAAATTCTAAACTTACACAATAGCAAGAGTAGTACTTCCGGTATCCGGCAAACGCCCCAGTATATGTAGTAATGTTGTCAGATTGAATTCTCATATTTGTGTATCGTAATTGTGTTGTTATCAAGTCGATTGTCATAGAGTAATAGTGTAAATATTGCTAAATTTCAGTAAGGCTTCGTATTGGTAAGTAAATGCATATTTTTTGAGCCGTACATACTAATACATCTCACTGCCGCTAGATACATATTAACAATACTAAAAACATTTTATTATTTATGGAGTTTCCGCAGTTTATCTGTATTTTAATATTATATATATAAATATATGCGGAAATTGTAATTATATTGTATAATAAATGATCAAATAATTGTTTAATTTTTTTGATATAAAATATAAAAGTGCATTTAGTTTGGTTATATATGTGATTATACTTGTGTATACTTACCTCCTGCTATGTTTCGATTGTGAGTCATACTGTGCTGACACTTGACACCTGGTAATGTATTTTAACATTTTATAATATTAAAAAATTATATGAATTTTATTAAATAAATTGTACGATATAGATTTTATATTCGTTATTAAGCTTTATATTATTTTCTTTTATATTTACTAAAAATTGAGATTTATAACAATAATAAATAATAAATATATAATGAAATACAAATGACGATGAAAGTTTTTGATGAAAATAAATTAAAATTTATTAATCATTATAAAGAAAAATTTTTATCTGATATATTTGAAATAATAAAATTTAATATAACAGATAAAAATATATATAAATTTATATAAATATTTTTGATTTTTTATTTAAAATTGTAAGTTATCATAAAATAATTTCATTCATTTATCAGTTATCAAAATATTGATTACTAAGATTTTGTATTATTAGGTTGGTTACATGATATGCTTCTATGATTCTTGTGTAAGATTAAAATTCCAATATGAAAGCTGACGAAATAAATCCGTTATCATTCGTTATATACATATCGAACGTATCAATTTTTACATTAATTCAAATATTTTTACATTAATTCAAACATTTATATTATATTTTTAATAATCATTTATATAGCAATTAACAAATTTTTTTGCAATGTCTAAAGTTAATAAAACAATAAAAGATAATTCGCGAATGGTATCAGATACTTATAAAAAGATCTTAAATAAATGGAAAAATCGTGAGTATTAATTAATTTTTATATAATGTAACAAATTATTATATTATATTATTATTTATAATATTTGATATATAAAAGACTAACAAATTATAAACACATTACACATGTTTTATTTAATAATTAATTATGATATAGTTATATTATAGTTATAATATTTAATATTAGTTACAATATAATTAATTATTAAATGAAATATGCAAAAAATATATAAAAAATATTAATTATAAATTTATTATTATAATTATATTTAAATATGATTAGTAAATCCAAATTCAAGTATATATTTATTTCTTATAAAATAATGATTAACACTCTATTACTTATTTTTACATTAATT